AGCACGATTTAACAGGGAGAATGCCAAGAGAGGGCATCTACCCATGTCCCATGGCGTAACTCTCAACAAGAAATAGTGTCCAAAGACACCTGTTGAGCGAAAGAGAATGGATCAAATTCCATATGCTTTGCTAATTTGGTCGATCATGTATGCCATGATATGTACCAGGCCAGATGTATCGTATGCCTTAAGCGCTACGAGCGGATACCAATCAAACCCAGGAGAGGCGCATTGGACTGTGGCCAAGAATATCCTAAGGTACCTGAAAAGGAACAAGGATAAATTCCTGGTTTATGGTGGCCAAAAAGACCTAGTTGTTGAAGGTTACACCGACACTAGCTTCCAGACTAACAGAGACGACTTCAAGTCACAGTCCAGATACATATTATGTCTGAATGGAGGAGCGTTTAGCTGGAAGAGTGCTAAGTAGAGCACCACTGCAGACTCTACAGCTGAAGCCGAGTACTTGGCATTTTCAGAAGCCACTAAGCAGGCTGTTTGGATTCGCAAGTTCATTAGTGAACTCGGTGTTGTACCCTCCATCAAGGGTTCGATAGGTCTCTACTGTGACAACGATAGAGCTATCGCTCAGGCTAGAGAGTCAAGAGAGCAGCAGAAGGTCAAACATGTCCAAAGGCGATTTCACATTATAAGGGAATGGAAATCCAAGGGTGAAATCAGAATTTGCAAGATCGGCACGGATGATAATGTGGCCGATCCTTTGACTAAACCTCTGCCTCAATTGAAACACAACAAGCACGTTGAGGCGATGGGAATCAAGCATATTGGAGACTGGCTTTGAAATTCCCTGTACATGTGTTTTAATTAAACTAGATGTTTTAATGTAAGACACTGTATTGAAACCATTCATTAATGGAGTAATTAATTTTTGTGCAAAATTATCATTCACTCCATTGCGATTTAATAGTGGTTTAGAATAAAATAATGAGTCCATTTGATTTATGGAAATATTCAAAATAGGGTATCAAGACCATGTCTTGGATAAAGAAACACCTCTTAAGTGAACATTGAATGTTTAAATAAAAAATTATCTCTAATAGAGGTCATCTAACTGATAAACGATTGATGACCACCAGATATTAGTGTGTAGTATGATATACAACACTGTTTCTTGTGCTGCAAGGACATGATGGTCATAAATCATTTGCACATGTGCCAGTTTGGAACTGCGCTGGATAGACCTATGAGAGTACTTTAAGAGATTCAAAATTGTCATAAGTACATTTCTCATTATAGTTATCGGAACTCGTTTCCTCGACCATGAGTATTGTCATAAGTACATTTTTCATTTCTCTTTGATGTTGCCTAACGTCTTCCGTAACTAGGGATCATAACGGGAACACTCAGGAGATTAGGTCCTCTTAGTAAGAGAAACTTACAATGCAAGACTGGGAATGTCCCCCTATTAACAATAGGGAACATGTCTTTGTTGTTTACAAGGCCGCTCGAAGAGAGAGATTGTAAAAATGCATGGTCGTGCTCAAATGGATTTTAGAAATCATCTTCTTATTGACAGTCGAACTCGGAGATCGAGAAACACTTCTGAACGTAATAAGGATGACGATGAATCTTACCTTATAGTTAACGAAGAGACATTAAGCGACATAGGAACTGGGCTATACACTGTATGCACACTTGTCTGGAAGGACAAGTGGGAGATTGAAAGGAATGGTGTCCTTCCAACAAGTTTATTATTTTGATAGAGGCTTCAAAATTATTACAAAGCTAATTCTAGAGTAAGGTCAAGTGATCGGAATGCCTAGGTGGAGGCCGCTTCCGATCAGTAATATTAAGGTATAATTAATATTACATCTTAATCATAACTGAAAACTTCGGATCAAACCCTATCGAACAACGGATCCGAGACGACGAATTAATCCGAAGGATTTAATGAGTCGTCGGAGTTTTACAAACAATGACGTCAGATATCGAGCTTAGGGCGTCGAGACCGAGCGTCGCAAAATCACAAGCAACAAGTGCGAGCATAGCCGTAGCATCACATTGCGCTAGACATGTGAAGTGCTAGGCTAGGCTAGCTCATCGCAAGCCTAGGCACACCATGTTTGCTAGGCGCACAAGGCAGCCCATCGCACTAGCACAGCACCATCGCAGTGCTAGGCACTTGTGTGTGTGTGCGTGTGCATGTGCCTAGGGGCTGTCGCATAATCGCAGCACAAGCACAACACTATCGCATGGCTAGACCTATGCGTGTGTGCGTATGCTTGTGCCTAGGCATGTCGCACCATCGCAGCAGCAGCCTCGCACAACAACACCATGGTAGGCATCACCATGTGCGTGTGCGTATGCGTGTGCGAGTGCTATGCGAGAGGCGATGCCCAGCATGCGTGGCTCGCTAGCAGCACACATGCTGGGTGGGCGTGTGCGTGTGCGTGCGAAGGGGAGAGCCAGGCAGCCAGCAGCGCCCAGCTCCTAGCAAGCCCCAGCGTGGGCATCACCCAGCACAGCAGCATGAAGCGCGCACGGCTGGCTGGGCTGAAGCTTGCTGCGTTGTGCTGGCTGGCTGGGTTAGGTGGCAGTGTAAGCTGGCATGCTAGCTGGCTGCCTGCCTAGCAGCCTCCTATACCGGTTTTGTGAGGGTGGGGACCAACCCTTGGCAAAGCCTTGGGGAGCAAGGCAATGGTCCCCCCCCACCTCTCTTGGTCCTCACTTAACTCTCTCTCTCCCCTTGACACTTGTTGCATTGTGATTGATTTGATCATTTATTTAATTTGTTATTAAATTAATTATCAATATCATTCATTCTCCCACATTAGTTGGGAAATGAAGATTAAGGGTTCATTTCCCTATAAATACCAAAGCTTGGGTATTTGGGAAAAGTAAAGGAAACTCCATTGTTGAGCATACCTTGAAATTCGTAAAACTCTAGTTTGTTTTGTCCGGGCCTTGACTAACCTTCGAGGCTTAGGACGATCGGTTCGGGTTTGAGGGTACGATCCCGTCGGAGACCTCGCACTATCGGGGTTCAAGTAACAGCTCATAGTTGAGCAAAGTACGCGTCAAAGGAATAATCTTTTATCCTTTCTTATACTTTAAATTATGTTTTGTTTGTTAATTGCATTTATTATGGGGGCGGGTCTTGGCGGGTTTCTTTCCGCGTAGTGTGGGTCACTACGAAACCCTACATTTACCTCTTTTGCCACGACATCTAAGGACTCCTTACTGATATCGTTGAGCTTAACCAAGTCAACTTGTATACCTAGTATACCTTACGTTCCTAGGGAAGTAGTGATGCCTCGATTTGGCGTAGCCCATCACATACGCGCATTAGTTCGATAAGTGTTGTTCTTGGAACGACAAATTTTTAGCTCAATATTTTAAGGGACCTAGGGTTTCTATGTTGGTTGATTAAGTGAACTTAACTAATCATCGCAACATTTGAAATCCTAGACATGCATCTAACATTCAAGTATATATATAACAACAATATATATAAAGCATAAAAATAGATGCATTTGGCAACTAGCATGACCCCTTGAAATCTTCAAATCATCAAGGGCCTTCATCTTGGCTCCTCTTCATCGAAACGCCGTCTTGAGACATCTTTCCCAAAATAAAATAACTAGCTACTACGACTAAGATTAATCTAAAGTACAAAAATACTTAACGGTTCTCAAACCGTATTTAGATTTTACAAAAATACATAACGGAATGCAGTCGGTATTTTCTATCCTAGTCGGGTCCCACTAGTTGCCATTTTTCAATAACCTGTTTGGAAACAATCTTTCATTCACCCATTCACTATTTGTGAATGGCCCATGCATTTTACGAGATAAAACAAGTAAACACGCAAAACTAGTAACTAACTTAGGTGGTTAATTCAATTAACGCGCCTAATTAAAACTAGTCAAAGTTGTTTAATACATTATGTATTACAAAGGTGCAATTTGTTCACGTAATTATCCAAGCTACCACTAAATTTCGCATCCAACTTAATTAATCCAATTAATTAAGCCTATTAACCCAAATTTTTCAAAATCAAAAATTTTTGCAAGAGCCGGAAAAATTGAGGTCTAACCTCGTTAAAATAATTACATAAATACTTTAAAACGACAAATTTTTGCAAAAATACATAGCTCAAAATTAAGCAAAAACCGCCCACACAGTTCCTAATGGGTTGCGCACCATGGCTGGCAAGCAGCCCATGGGGTGGCTTGGTGCGTGGTGCTAGCATGCAGCGCCTAGCGTAGCATGCCACGCTGCTAGCACCAGCTGCCTGCCTTGCATGCTGCGCATGTTGGCTAGTATGCTGGCGCCTGCCAGCAAGTGGCACGCTGGGCTGGCGCTTGCTGCCATGGTGCCCAGCAGCTTCCCCAAGCAAGCCAGCTGCCCAGCCACTGCCCCACGCACATCAGCCCCTAGCATCCCTCGCCACACAGCATCGCACAACAGCACCATGGCTTACCCCCTGTGCGCACCATAGGCAGCACCATGGCTTAATTCCGATTTACGCGCGATGTAAAATTAATCTAAATTTATTTTAGAATTAATTTAGGGCAAAAATGAAAATAAAATAAGTTCAAATTAATCACTAGACGAAAAAGGTAATTTGGCACCGGTTCAAATCCCCCCTAAGCCACCGGTTTTGAAATGTTAGGGATTTGAGGGATGCCAAATCCTTTGGCACCGACTTTGACACCGTTTAACCGGTGCCAACTTCAAACGCGCGAATTTTTTTTTTATTATCAACACTATTGGCACTGGTTTTAGGCAAGAACTGGTGCGAAAAACTCCACTTTAGGCACCGCTTCTTGCTTAGAACCGGTGCCAATAGTCTTAAAAAAATTTAAAAAAAAAACTTTTGGCACTGGTTCTTGTACATACCGGTGCCAGAAATACCCCAAAATAATAAAAATTAATTTTTTTTTTTTGCATTTTTTTTTTGCATTTTTTTTCACTTAAATTGATATAGAAACATTAACATATATATAAACTTACATATTTTCATTAAAAAAGGCTATAAAGGCTGTAATATTACAATTTTCGTCCAAAAAAAATTAAATAATCCATACTTATCTCTGATCGAACTTTCTTGCATTACAGTTAAAACAGGGACCGAGACAACACCTAACACAAACCCAAAACTACGGAGAACAAAACAAAAAACAGCAGCCCAAAAAGACTTCCTGAAATGTCAGAAGTCCTGCGTGGTGGAATGTACGAGCTATATTATACAAGGCTTCCTGAAATGACTTGGATTAGTACTATAGTCTCATATGAGTGACTTTAAGATTATGCACACAAAGTAAAAGGCTTATTTATTAAATTGGTAGGAAAAACATTAATATTAGGCAATCAGATAATATTTATTAATGTAATAGACTTGTCAACTTTTCAAACTTCATCCCTGAACAAGTTTTCTTATTTAACAACACCAGCTTACCTGGCTATTTTCACAAAGTCGCAGATTGTTGTAAAGGAAAGCTAAGCCTTGTGCAACACACTGATGATTGTTTTGAAGTCTATGTCCAAGGGCTAAATTGATTAAGGTTGTCCCTGCAAAGTAAGATGCATCAGTTAAATGGAGAATCAACACCAGCACACTCATATTAATCAGATTCGGATAAAATTACATTAAACATACCGACACAGAGATTGGTCAGTGGGGAATTTGGCATTTGCTTATACGCTTCTAAGTATTCCCTTGTAGCTACTTAATGTTGACTGATCATTGTAAACTGATTTCCAGAAATGATCATGGGTGGCGATAGATCCATATGTTCAACTCGCATATGATGCAGAAACTTATTATGCTTTGAGATACGATTCTTTAACCTAAATCCAGATGAACAATAGTAAGAAATATTATAAGATAGTTTCAAGTTATAAGACAGACCATAGAAAACCAGCAGGGACAGAAAAAACAGAAGCTCTGAGCAGACACAGGAATAGTCAAACAACCCCAGCACACTGACTACCTCAGCATCACAGTAGAACATAGCCTGCAGCAACACACAATAGACAAAACGGGTACACTTAGTTGGTACTTGGGTCTTGCACATCGACTATTGCTCGTCCTGTACTTTCAGCCACTACTAAGGTTGGTCCACTAAGTGAAAAAGGCAAAAAGGAAAGGGTTAGGGTAGGGAAGAAAGTTGTTGATGAGCTTATAGGCAATAATTTGACAAGGGAAAGAGTTTGTAATAAGCTAGAATGAGGCTTGTGTTTTCTAGGCTTGTGTTTGCTAGAAGAGTGCTATAATTTTAAAATAAAGCTCTTTAGTGAGTGATGATCAATGAGCGAGAATCAAAGCTTCCTACCCCTTGTTGTCTTGTTTTAATACTTGTATTATGATGTAGGCCATTATGACTAGCCTTATTTTAGATCAAAATCCATACTTTATCTTCACATTATTTTCAAACAACCTAAACAAACCTCCTACGCTTATTAGGGTTTAATATTTCAACTCACATATCAAAAATCATAATGTGTAGTGACTTCATTACATCCGCTGTGAAAAAATAGGTATATATGGTGTTGTTAGTCTATTATTCAGTGACAGCACTTTAGGGATACAAGTGAAACCATTATTCTAATAGCTTTTTTTCCCCTAAATTTTTCTAATGCCAAGTAACCAGCTCATTAGAGAAATGAAAAATCTTCAGTTAACCTTGCACACTTTTAAAGGCACAAAACGAGAAGGTGAACAAACAGAATTTTAGGAAGGGTACCAGTTATGTTGCTATCCCTTGGTACATCAACCAAACGGGAAGGTTCTGTAATAAAAAACAAACAACATCAATAAGCAATTAAATGATCAACAATATCTAATCATTAGCCAAATATCAAAAAATCAAACAAAAGCCAAATACTATCAATTCACAAAACTAATATTTTACGAAATAGTAGAATAACAAGCACACCATCATCTAGCTAAACATAACAGCAAATACCCATTAACTCTAGATAATGATGTAGTCTAACTCGATCTCAGGTCTTGATTACAACCACTACAAGTCTATGACTTTATCAAATAAGCCACTTAACCTGATAAGCTAGCAGTCAACCAGAAACAACAATAACACAGAACTAAAATCATTGATCCAACAAATAATTAATTTCCAATTAAAACACAGCAGAAAAAGCAGAAGCTCTGAGCGGGCACAGGAACAATCAAACAACCCCAACACACTAACTAGCTCAGCATCACAGTAGAATACAGCCTGCAGCAGCACACAATAGACAAAACAAGAGCTAGAGAAATAGCAACTCAACCTAGCAGATAGAAAAGACAGACTCAGGGCATGAATCAAAGCTGAACAGACTGGTAGAAATCTATTTGAGGGTAAAAGTCAATTAAAGCATTTCTATTTAAAACATGTGGATTAACAAGTAGAAATCATATAACAATTGATTTAACCTACACCTGTAGTTATTAAAGAGGAAATAAAAGTTAATAATCCTGAGTTGGTATATCAGATTATCAAGGGTATATTGTTGATCATTTCTTCAATGCGATATGCGAAGTATGATTCTATCAAAGACTTAATTCACGAAAAATATAATTCTCCCTTGAAAGAAGAAAGTTGCCAAGATTGCAACTCCCCCATCTACCCATACGCATTTAATATAATTTTCAAACACATTTAGATGATTAGCGTTAAGGAAGTAGCAAATAACAGCAGAATTTACTTCGTTTTCAATATCTTCAACCTCAACTTTCGCTAAATTATCGTATCCTGTGTTCTCACAAATTTTATGCAAATTAACATCTAAATTCATATTACCACAGCAAATTTCAAACAGCAAAAACAGGAGAAATAGAGTAGTTACCCATACTAATCCCAAGATAAACTCTGCAATCAATAGAATTGTATAGTATCTATATGGTACCAAGTACCAACATTGATTTTAAGTCTTCAAAATCCTATTTATAACGACCGAGGTGCTGCTACGGTGCTACCAGAAACTCTAAGACATAGATAAGGAAATAAAACAGAAAACCTTTTTCGTGCAACATCATTACTTGAATTCTGTGATGAAGAAGCCAAACAAACACCTCTTTTTCTTCTTCCACCACAATACTTCATTTCTAGAGCTGAAATTGGAATTAATTTCTACACAAGAATAATTCTTAATTAATAGTTTCAAATTGAAATTTAAATGTTGCCAAGCATTATCAAATGTAGAATTTTATGATCAATTTTAAAAAATATTAATTTGATAGAAATAAAAGATTATGATGGATTAATAATACAAATTAAGGAAAAAAAATGTAGGAATAAAGAAGAGAAGAGGAGCAAATCCAGGAAAAAAAAACCAGAAACCCTAACCTCGAATTTCTGATTTTATGTTCGAAATTGATTCGAATTTATTTTTGTTGAAGACGCACGCACATTGAATTGATTCAAATAGACGCACCCAGAAACCCTAACCTCCAATATTGTAGAAAGAAAGAAGGAGAAGGAGAAGGAGATCGAAAGAGAGAAGAAAGGAAAGGGAAAGTGACGGTTATGGAAAAGGAGATCGAAGGAGAGAGACAAAGTGTTAGGAAAGCTCAGAAGCCCCTTCAATGGAGAAATTCGAGTACGCTACAATGGAGGAGAGAGAGAGGCAGATTAGATGAGAAAGAAGAGGAAAGAGCAAGGAAATGGATTACTATAATTGGCACCGGTTTAAGGCGAACCAGTGCCAACTCTATTGCTTTTTTTTTATTTTTCTTTTTTCTTTTTTTTTTTAAGGTTGCCACCGGTTTGAACCGGTGCTAATTAAATGAGTTGGCACCGGTTTTGGTTGGAACCGGTGCCAACTCCCTATTTTCCAATCTCGCCCATTTCTTTTGGTACCGATTTTCAAGAATCGGTGCTAAAGGGGGGGGGGTGCCTATTTGATTTTTTCTACTAGTGAATTAATTTCAATTTTTATGGTGCACAAGCCTAAATCATCCAACATTTCCCTTTTGAAATAATTTAGGTCTTCCTTGATGCTTAAAATTGAAAGAGCTATGTCCATAATTAATTTAACCAATATGTAAATTAATAATGGATTTGACAAATAGGGAGTTGGAAAATAAATTAATCATCCAATGATAAAATATTCCAACTTTTATACTTGTGTATAATAATAAGATTACATCTTCCAATATGAAGATTAATCAACATTTACTCACAAGCATTTGAACTTCAAGGATTTTAATCAACCTAACATGAAAAATCCAAAATTAGTTCAACATGGAATTTAGGGTTAAAGTTCCTATCAATTAAACATTTAAAGATTAGATCTTTAACATACTAGGAACTTAAAAATACACATTCACAACAAGTATTCACACATTGATGCAATTTATTTGCATAATTGTGAAAAACAAGTTTATGTGAAAAAGAACATATCTACTTAAGCACATATTATAACTCCATAATCATGCTTAAAAGATACTTAAATTGCAGTAGATTAGGGATGCAATAATGCATTTAATCTACCCTTGACATGCTTGCATTAATCAAGGCATAAAAGGTTTAAAATTTTCGTTGAAAACGAAAAAACCCTCAAAACACTGGGTTTCTGGTTCGAATTTGGCTTCTGGATAGCTTTCATAGAGGATTGAAACTGATTCAGAATGTCGATTCCACCCAAAAAATACTATTTTTGAGCCAAAATCTGGGTTCGACAGCCAAAAACGAGAAAAAAACACGAGTTTTAAAATTAATTTAAGCGAGCTTCTTATCCAATTAGAAAAGTAAAATCAGAAATTAAATCCACTTTAAAACACCTTAATTAATAAATAATTGCAATAATTAAAAGGAGCCCGGCTCCGATACCGCTGTAGTGTTTCGTAGTGATGCTCACTACGCGGAAAGAAACCCCCCAAGACCCGCCCCGATAACTAAAGCAATTAAAGCATGCAAAACATAATTAATACATAATTAAAGAAATATACCCTAGACGCGTGCTTCGCTCGCTAATAGAGCTCTTACTTCCACCTCGCAAATGCAAGGCCTCCGACGGTTCGTACCCTCGAACATGACCCGATCGTCCTAAGCCCCGAAGGTTAGTCAGGACCTGGACAAAATATAAACTTTGGAGTTTTAGGAACTTAAGGTATTATAAACAATGGAGATGCCTATATAGTACCACTAAAATGTGTTCTTTCCCAAATGCCAAAGCCTTGGTATTTATAGGGAAATGAACCCTTGGATTTCATTCCCCAACCAATGTGGGAGAATGAGTAAAATTGATAATTTATATAATTCTAAATTAAATAATTAACCAAGGCAATCACTATGCAACAAAAGTCAAGGGGAGAGAGAGAGTTAGGTGAGGACCAACAATAAGGGGGGACCATTGCCTTGCACCCCAAGGCTTTGCCCCAAGGATTGGTCCCCACTCTCCCCAAACCGCAACCAAGCAAGGCTTGCTGGGCTAGAAGCCAGTTAGCATGCTAGCGTGCACCAGCAAGCACAACTATCCTGCACCGCATCACTGCCCAGCACGCAACGCGCACCAGCCAGCATGCCTAACACATACGTGCTGCTAGCGAGCCACGCACGATGCTAGGTGCTGGGCCCTGGGCCTCGCTGCTGACTACCTGACACTCGCAATCGCACGCACACGTACAACGAGCATACGTGCTACTAGCGAGGCACACATGTTGGGCATGCCTCGCCAGATACTACGCGGAAGGAAACCCACCAAGACCCGCCCCTTAATTAAAACAATGAACAAGCATACTAAACATAATCAAACAAGAGTAAGAACAAGAATTATACCTTTGTCGTGTGCTTCGCTCCCAAAGTGCTCTTACTTCAAAATCCCGAAAACACGAGATCTCTAACGGATCGTACCATCGACCCGACCCGAGCGTCCTAAGTCTTGAAGGTTAGACCCGGACAAAATAACTATGAGTTTTACGAATCAAAGGTTTACTCTTAATTTGAGTTGCCTTTTTAATTCCACTCAAGGTTGTTCAATTCACAACACCCTTGAAGGGTATTTATAAGGAAATGAATCCTTGGTTTTCAATCTCCCATCAATGTGGGAGAGTTAGTGAAATGATAATTATTTAATTCCAAAATTAAATGATTAATCAATTCAATCACAAATCGACACATGGCAGAATAATAGAGAAAGCCAAGTGAGGACCAAAGGCTTGGGGGACCATTGCCTTGATCCCCAATCCATTGCTCCAAGCAACGGTCACCACATGCAAAACCGGCTTAAAAAAGGGCTGCTGGGCTGCTGCCAGCTAGCTTGCGAGCTAGCCCAGCCAGCTAGCCCTAGTCTGCCCAGCAGCCTCGCATGCTTGGTGCTGGGCGATGCTAGGCACTGGTGCTGGCCTTCGCACCTCTCGCATCCCTCGCTGCACCTTCTCTCACCATTGCTAGCATAGCCAGCATGCATGCTGCTAGCGAGCCACGCATGCTGGCCCCTTCCTTCGCATCATGCTACGCACCACGCACCACGCACCAGCCTTGCATCATGCATCACGCATCGCCTAGAAGCCTTGGTGCGTAGCAATGCTCGGCTGATGTGCGTGGCCTAGCAACGTGCTGGCGACCAGGCCCCTTGCACACGCATGGTGCGCTGCTTGGTGCTGCCATGTGAAGGCTAGCACGTAAGCCAGCACGCATGCTGCGAAGGGCTGCCTGGTGCCTTCTGGTGCTTGCGATAGGCTGCCATGGCACGCCTAGGCTGCGATGGTGCACCTAGGCTGCGATTGTGCGCCTAGGTTGCGCCTAGATCTTGCGATTGGCTACCATGGAACGCCTAGGCTGCGATGGTGCACCTAGGCTGCGCCTAGCCATGCTAGGTGCATGCTAGCTCGAACTAGCCTAGCATCCACAAGGCTAGGCCAGTGTGTTGCTAGGGCTATGTTCATACTTGTCGCTTTGTGATTTTGCAACGCTCGGTCTCGACACCCTAGGCTCGATATCCGACGTCTGTATTCGTAAAATTCTGTCGACTCATTAAATCCTTTCAGATTAATTCGTCGTCTAGGATCGGTGATTCGATTGGGTTCGACCCGAAAGGTTCAGTTAAGATTAAGTTGTAATATCAATTGTACCTCGATATTACGGATCGGAAGCGGCCTCCACCTAGGCATTCCGATCACTTGATCTTACTGAAGAATTAACTGTGTAATAATTCTGAACCTTCTATCGGAAGAATACACTTGTTGGAAGGACACCATTCCTTTCAATATCCCACTTGTCCTTCCGGACAAGTGTGCATACAGTGTATAGCCCATTTCCTATGTCTCTTAATGTTTCTTCGTGAACTATAAGGTAAGATTCATCGTCATCCTTATTACGTTCAGAAGTGTTTCTCAATCTCCGAGTTCGACTGTCAATAAGCAGATGATTTCTAAAATCCGTCTGAGCACGGCCATGCATTTTCACAGTCTCGCTCTTCGAGCGGCCTTGTAAACAACAAAACATTTTCCCTATTGTTAGTAGGGGGACAATCCCAGTCCTGTGCAAATGATTTATGACCGTCACGTCCTCGCAGCACAAGAAACGGTGTTGTAAATCATACTACACACTAATCTATGGCGGTCATCAATCGTCCATCCGTTAGATGACCTCGATTAGTGACAAATTTTGATTTAAACATTCAATGTTCACTTAACAGGTGTTTCTTTATCCAAGACATGGTCTTGATACCCTGTTTTGAATATTTCCATAAATTGAATGGACTCATTATTTAATTCAAACCTCAATTAAATAGTAAAGGAGTGAATGATAATTTTGCACAAAAATTCATTACTCCAATAATGAATGGTTTTAATATAGTGTCTTACATTAAATATCCAATTTAATTAAAACACATGTACAGGGAATTTCAAAGCCAGTCTCCATCATGCTTAATTCCCATTGCCTCAATGTGCTTGTTGTGTTTCACTTGAGGCAACGGTTTAGTCAAAGGATCAGCTACATTATCATTTGTGCCAATCTTACAAATTCTGATTTCCCCTTAGGATTTCCATTCCCTTATCATGTGAAATTGCCTTTGCACGTGTTTGACCTTCTGGTGCTCTTTCGGCTCCCTGGCCTGAGCGATAGCTCCATTGTTTTCACAATAGAGGTCTATCGGCCCCTTGATTGAGGGTACAACACCAAGTTCGCTAATGAACTTGCGAATCCAAACAGCTTCCTTGGCAGCTTCTGAAGCGGCCAAGTACTCGACTTTAATTGTAGAGTCTGCAGTGGTGCTCTGCTTGGCACTCTTCTAGCTAAACGCTCCTTCATTCAAACAAAACATGTACCCCGATTGTGACTTGAAGTCGTCTCTGTCAGTCTGGAAGCTAGCGTTGGTGTAACCTTCAACAACCAGTTCTTTGTGGCCTCCATACACCAGGAATTTATCCTTGTTCCTTTTCAGGTACTTAAGGATGTTCTTAGCCGCAGTCCAATGCGCCTCTCCTGGGTTCGATTGGTATCGGCTCGTTGCACTCAGGGCATACGATACATCTGGCCTTGTACATATCATGGCATACATGATTGATCCGATTAGCGAAGCATATCGGATCTGATTCATTCTTTCTTGCTCAACAGGTGTCTGTGGACACTGTTTCTTGCTGAGAGTTATGCCATGGGACATGGGTAAATGCCCTCTTTTGGCATTCTCCATGTGGAATCGAGCTAATACCTTATCAATGTAAGTACTCTGGCTTAATCCAATCATCCTCTTAGATCTAAATCTGTAGATCTTTATGCCCAATATGTACTGTGCCTCTCTTAAGTCCTTCATTGAAAAGCACTTTCCCAACCAGCCCTTTACGGACTCCAATAATTTTGTGTTGTTTCCAATGAGAAGTTTGTCATTGACATTTATGACTAGGAATAAAATATCA